CCCCCTGCCCCCGCCACTGAATTGCTACCAGCATCCTTGCAACCTGCTACAAAATGCCAGTGAATTGTCAGCAACATCCCAGCTCCACGAGCCAGATTTATTTAAAAAAAAAAGTTGTGGATGGGCTGAATTCAGCCCATGAGCCATAGTTTACTGACCCCTTATCTTAACTATAAGTATGAGGAGTATGAATTAATCCAAACTGGTGAACCAGAACAGAAGGAGAAAAAATAGAACAGCATCTTCTGGGAGGAAAAAAAACAAACCCTTCTTAGTCTTGGATTAAAAAATTTAGTCTTAATTTTAAAAACAAATACATAATTAAAGATGTCCTAACAGTGTGTCTCTACATATACCATAGCACATCAGATCAGTGTAAAATATGAATGCTTAGAATGATTTTGGGGAACGAAGTGTCCAAAACACACAATATTTGAATGCAATTTCAATCCAGAAGTGTGAATAATTCAGTGTGCGTACATTTTGAAATAACCAAACATCAATGCTCAAAACTGCTTAGAATTCAATAAGCCATAAAAGTTACCTCCAGTCTCATAACAACATACCTATTCCTGAATTTGCTCCAGTGACAATGACCACTTTTCCACTCAAATCACAACCCTGAAGTATCTCCATTGCAGTACTGTTTCCATCATATTTCTGTCTAGTTGTAGGTTTGACTGGATTCTCTTCCACTGTAAATGCCAGTCTTGGGTCAAGGTACGTGGTCCTTTTGTTTATATGGCTGGAAAAGAAACAAAACAAGATTTCAAACTAATTTCTGCTGTATCCATATTCTTCAGAAAGACTGCAAACACAGGGGAAAAGACTGAGAAGGAAAAAAAGTTTCAAGTTGACATTGTTGAACATCCTCGAAACTGAAATGTGTTTCAGTGCTTCCAAATGAACCTGAAATGCTTCACAATGAGGAAGATCAACATTAAACTGCACATTGCTATGTTGTTCTACATTATCTCATGGGACTCATAGTTCAGGTGCATGGTGCCCTCGTTCTCCTCTATGGACCAGGCTCCCTTGGTGGACAGCACATCCCATGATGCACCAGGAAAAGCTGAGTTAGAGGAAAGCTGATGAAAGATGTAGTCCTCTAAGGAGCTTGGCTCACAGGAAAGAATGAAGTTTGAATTACAACTCCCAAAAGATAATAGCAGGGTGGATAAAAATCAACAATTAAAAAAAAAAAAGATTTGTTTAATTTAAATCAGATTTTTTGATTTAATCAAATTGTGTCAAGATGCATGTTTTAAAAAGATAAATTTATCTTAAATTAAAACTACTTTTATATATGTTAAAACCCAGTGATATCATCATGAAATATGGATTATAACTTCTAATTATATTTGAGACAATATATCCATGTAACCTTTTTAGAAGTTTTACAAATAGGTCACAACAGGCCATGGACTATATTAGGGGCCCAATCTTATGGGGTTCCCAAAGGCTCCTCTATAGATTCACAAAGATTAAAGAAAACCAACGGGACTCAATGCTGAGTCTAGAAGATCCCATTAAGCATCTCTGTGATGCTTAGTTTCAGTTCTCAAACTGTGGATTTGTGTCTCCAAAAATCATCAGCAGACAAGGTTTGTTGGGTAGATGTTATATCTTTTATTAAACCAATGAAATAGTTGGAAAAAAAAATTCTTTGCAAGCTTTCAAGCACAAATGCTGTTCTTCAGGCATAGGGAGAGTTTGTCGTCTCCAGAGATAACATCCTTGTTAACAGCAGTATATGGAGATGAGAAATAGCAGATCCGATTACCCATCCATCAGCCCTATTGTCCCTCTGCAAGTTTGTGTACACAGTCAAGCCCTTACCTTCCACTAAACGTGAAGTTTCAAGAAATTTAATGAGTAAAGTATATCAAACAACAAGAATGCACTTTTTGTAGAAAACTGCTAAATCAAGGCTTCATGACCAGTGATTTAAATCATGATTTAAATTTCATTTAAATCAAATCCACCCTGATCAGTAGGGAAATGCAGTCAATGTGTTATAAAACTTATCCAAAACAGAGAGTTGAGAGCCAGAATTTTCTTTTGTTGAACTATCTAGAGTCCCTTCAACCCAAATTATTTCTTTCAGCTTTTCCCAACAGAAAATCTGTGAATACTCTGATAGAAAACGCCACTTCCCCCAATCAGCTCTATGTATCAGTAACCACTGCTCACACAAATGAATGTCTCAGGTCATAGATTCTACATTCTGCCATTTAGAGTGTCAATATTCTTCCCTCTCAGCTGACTGCCCCCCTTCTCCTTCCTACCAATACTGTGCAAGGTCCATTATTCCTTATGATCTTTCTTTCCTCTCCCTTTCGGTGCCCTTCTTTCCTTTCCATCCTTCTGTGAGCTTACCCCTTCTGCCATTTCATCTTGCTCAAGCTTTCTTTTTGTCTTTTTTATTGTAACCAGTTCCAGGTAGGGACAGTCAATTCTGTTTTTGTACAGCATTCAATACATTTTGAGAACTATCATAGTATTAACCACCAACCAGGAAAGCTTAACGCTCCTTATAATATCAGGTATGCATGCTCAATTTATGACAGACTTCAGCTTACAAAAACTGATCCATATAACCGTCTTGTTAAGCAGTAAGCACTAAAATTCCTGTTGTTCTTAAAGACACTGAACTGTTAAAAGATGTGATCACATTTTGTGTAAGCAATTACAAGCTAGGTAACAAAGAAGAAAAAATCATTCTTAACTATGTGATCTGTTTGTATACAAGTTTATTTGCGATCTCTGTATATAGGAGAGACATTTTGTTTTCATCCAAATTATTTCCTTAGTTGATGTTACCAAAAACTTGTTTCTATATTCTTTCCTGGTTAGTTGGAGGCAAGCAATAGAAATCTATTGCTTCCAACTAACACAGAACTGTCCTCTTAGAAGTCACTATTAATTCTTCATGACAGTATGTAGTGCTCCTCTGTTTAAACATAGGACTTTAGAAAAATATAAATGTGGTGGAAGTTTAGATTGTATTACTTCCTTAAAAGTTGTATTTAACTATAAAGTCTCAGTTTACTGTTTTCTGTATATATTTAACTGAAAACATTGTAAAGCACTATAGCTCAGTAAGACAATACATCAGGAGTCAGCAAGCCCCGGCACATGTGCCAGAACATGACATGTGAAGCCATTTTGCTCAGCGTGCCACAGCTGGCCCTGGCTCTGGGCAAGCCCCTGCCACCAACCATGGAGCCCAGGCTGCTCGGAGCAGGTAGCCACAAGCCTGCAAGCAGCTGCACCAGGGTCCAGAGCCCCGGCCCAGCTTGCCGCTGGCTGCACGTGCGCCCCAGTGAGCACAGCGGGGAAAGGGTCAGGGCTGTGCTGCCACAACAAGGCTCAGGCCCCTCACGGCTCCCCTGCCACCTGCCTGGCACGCCAACACCTTCCAAGTCAACATTGCGGGTTTTTTGACACTCGGCCCAAAAACGTTGCCAACCCCTGCAATACATCTTTATGCCATGGCCCCCTTCTGTTCATTAATTTTCTCTATTTTACATACTTACTCTACAAAGTAGACTTGGCCATTTTCATCCGTTTCCTGCTCCCATCCATATGGCAGATCTAGAACATCACCACAGAAAACATTACATTTATACAGCAGTTGAGAGTTGGGTCGTAGGTAGAATACCCTGGTTTAGTTTGCATTCACCTGACCAAGATCTCTGCTGGTAAATAAACTGAGAAAGCACTTGTAAACAAGAGATTTTGTTTTCTCCTACACCGGTACTCAGCTCAGATAAAGGGGAGGAAGCTGTCACACTCTCTGCTTCTGAGACAAGCAAAAAGTACGGGAAAATGGAAACAGCACTAGCAAAAGACTCACCTACCCCAAGGGAACTCTCTGCTGGGCAATTCCAGGTGGACTACAGCCCATTTGCACCATTCAACTGGAACACGAGTGTCATAATCCCATAACCTTGCCTTGAGTCTACGTCCATTTTGAGCCAGTACAAGCAGAAAGCCCCCACACTGCTAGCAATGCTTTGGCCTTGCGTAAGCTACAGTCCTACAGGTCAATCCATATGTACAGCATACATGCAAAGCCCTACAGCAATCATCCAGGTTTGCCAGCATGATTTAATTTACCAGACTGGGACCACATCTGTATAAAACAGCCCCATAAACCCACACTCATTTCAATCATCTGTTACAACTTACTTGTACTCTATTACAAAAACCTAACACAAACCTCCTGCAACTCGTTTCCTTTTGCCTGATTTAGGATGCTCCCATTGGGTTTTCTCTTCCAGATGACTAAAAAAAAAAAAAGAGAAAAAAAACAATTAAACAATAGCTTGATGATGCATTAACTTTCGAATACAACATCTCTCTAGAGTTCCTGCAGCAATGTGACTTGGGAGTTATCTGTGGTATAAACCTGTTCAGTAAAAAAAACTCAGTCCCTTAGCAAGCTGCAAATATCCCTAAAAATAAGTTTCCCTAAAACTAAGTACTCCTTAAAATAAGTTTCATAAATGCAGCCTATCGTAACTGGACTCCGCAGTGACAGTCTTTTAAGCAAAACCTAGCTGGACAGATTAACAGACTAAAAGGCCTCCTATTCAAACCTGAGTTTGAATCCTAATCCAAGGATGGCATTTCATTTCTCAGAGATATTTACCTGCAGGCATAAGAGAGTGAGGAACATTTTGGCGTGGGCCAGCAAATGGCACATTTCTCAATATCTGGTTCATGCAAGATGGCTGCATTCCTAGCATCTAAAGTAGGTCATTGCCTACAGAAGCTCTTTTCTCTCTGAAGCACTCAGTCTCTAAGGTGCCACTGTGCCCAACCTTCTGCCATCTTTGGCCGTGCACAACAAACCAACCACCTCCGTACTTCCACAAACTGGTTTAACCATATTATGAAACATCCCACACTGAACAAAGAACAAGCCCAGTGGCAAAAACGCTATTACATCATCTCATTTTTCATTTTAAAGACAGAATAGTACATTTCTAGCTCCTGAGTCTGAGATGAGAAAGCTTAAAAATGCTTTTCAAGTGTAACCCTTGCAGCAACGTCTGGCTGAGTCTGTGGGTGGCCTGAACAATAGGTCACACTTATTGCAGTGGGTCTACTGTTACTTAGTGGTTTCCTAGCATTTAAAGACATATTAATTAATGACCAGCAAAAATTAGGCTTACAGAAATCAGCGGAAGTAAAGGAAAACCTGGTGTTGGATGAATCATTTAGTAACTGGAGAAAAGTGTAAGTGGACAAGCAGGAAACATCTTGTTCAATGTTGCTAGGGCAAGACCTGAGGGGAGGGAAGACCTCTGACCATGGGCAAGACAAGTCAGTGTCACTAATGTTCTTCATGTTGAAGCAAAGCTAGGACTACGACAGCTGCCATCAACCAGACTTGACACAGATCAACTCCAACTACCCAGGTAAAGCAACGTTAAGAGATGGCCCAGAAAATTCAGCTGCTCATAAAACATGCCTCTCAAAATGTCCTCTCCTGCAAAATGTCCAATACTCTGCCTAAGGCTGATAAGTTTTATGCCTACTTAAAAACCTGTCGTGGCAGTTGTGGGACTTGGCCAAAACTTGTAGCAAACTAAGCCAACTAAAGTAAGTGGCACTTCCACACAATGCTTCCAAAATGTGCCCCTAAGTTATTGTCCATGGTCCTCCACCACTGCGGTCTGCAAGGAAATTTCCAGCACGAGACAATATCGCCTGTGCATGCATGTGTGACTGCATCCCCAAATGTCTGAAAGCCATACCCTTGGCCCCAAAGTGTAGTCATCCAAAAGTAACTCCATATCATAACTCTGCTTTGTGGAAATAAGTCACAACCCCTTCAGGACAGCCCTCTCATCTCTCACGCAGCAGGTCACAGACTAGTGCTGCACCCAAAGGCTCGGCACCTGTTCACACGTGCACATAAAGCAGAGTTGGCTCTATCTGTCCCCTGCTTCATTTTAATATCCAAGTCCAGCCCACAATGACCGGGAACAAATCAACACTTCCAGAAGCATCATGTAGAGGAACTGAGCCTCAAGCTGCAAATGCACGACAAGCCAAACAACAACCTGCACTTACAGCGGCGCATGTACCACACACGGCCCCAGAGGGGTATAAAGTCACCTCATCAAGAAATGCAGGGCAGCAGGGCTACGTGGGGTGAGGAGCACCCCAAAGGACACGTCTGCACATCTGCACATGTGGCACACTCAGTGTGTGTGTGTGTGTGTGTGTGTGCAATGTTGAGTGTATGCATGTATGCAGGCGCATGCATGCGCAGGTGCATGCACATGGGTGCATGTGAAGGTGCATGCTTGCAGAGTTGTGTGCACGCATACACGTGTGTGAATGTGCGTGCTTACAGCATTGTGTGCATGCATGTGGGTATGTGAATATGCATGCCTGCAGCGTTGTGGGGGTGTGCATGTGGGGGGGTGTGAATGTGCGTGCTTCCAGTGTTGTGTGCGTGCGTGTGAATGTGCATCCAGCATTGTGCGCATGCATGTGGGTGCACGTGAATGTGAGTGCTTGCTGCATAGTGTGCATGCATGTGGGTGCCTGTGAATGTGCATGTGGGTGCACGTGAATGTGAGTGCTTGCTGCATAGTGTGCATGTATGTGGGTGCCTGTGAATGTGCATGCTTGCAGTGATGTGTGCATGCACACGTGCGTGTGAATGTGCATGCAGCATAGAGTGCATGCATGTGGGTGGGTGTGAACATGCATACAGGTGAATGTGCATGCTTGCAGCATGGCGTGCGTCCACGTGGATGAATGTGAATGTGCATTCTTGCAGCAGTGTGTGCACACATGTGAATGTGCATGCTTGTAGTGCTGTGTGCATGCATGTGGGTGGGTGTGAATGTGCATGCCTGCAGTGCTGCATGCGTGTGGGGGGGGGGAACGGTGAATGTGCCTGCTTCCAGCATTGTGTGTGTGCATGTGGGTGCATACACATGTGCATGTAAATGTGCATGCAGCACGGTGTGCATATATGTGGGTGCATGTTAATGTGCATGCTTCCTACATAGTGCGCGTGCATGTGAATGTGCGTGCAGCATGGTGTGGGTGCGTGTGAACATGCATGCGTGTGAATGTACGCAGGTGTGCAGGCGGGGGCGGGGCGGGGCTCTCAGCCCAGGCCCCGCGCGGTGCGGAGGGGCTCCCCTGCCCCTCGGGGCCCGGGGCGGCC